CGGGAGCTCCTTCAGGGAAAGACTATGGTTTGGTCTCTCTTGGTATTCCCAAGGCTTAGCACAGTGTCCGGTAAGTAGTAAGCACTTAACTGCTCACTGAATCAATGATCAGTTGAATGAGAGTCATGAAATAAGGGAAGATTCTCAGTCTTCTCTTTTTCCTCATGATACGTAGACACAGGCAGGGATACCTGGCAGAAATCCCATTCATTCCTGATGCTTGATGGATTTGTGCTAAGTTGAGACAGCCTGAGGGTAAGTCTGGGGAAGTCTCACTTCCAGATACTTGGATTTTGATGAAATCCAGTCCTTTCCTCTTCCCCCCTGCCCCACCCTAAAGCAGAACAAATTTGTCTTGACAGAGTTTCCTGTCCCCCCTACAGAGCCAATCCATATCTGAGATATAGAAATAGTGATGACAAGATAAACTTCTTTAGAATTAGAGCAGCCTCAGAGAGGAATGAGTTAATGGGATTTGGGGGGAGGAGCTTTAGGAAAGGCAGATGGTCCAAGCCTAGGGAAGTGATTGGCCCATGGTCCTCTGCCCTGGCCAGATCACTTCTGGAGTGATGGGCTCCGTCCTGGCTGCTACAGAGTAGAAAGGACCTTGAATAGCTGGAAGACATCCAGGCAGGACAACTCTGAGGGTGAAGGACTTTGAATTTGTACCATATGAAGACTGATCAGGGAAATAGGGATGTTTAGCTTGGAGAAGAACATGGCATGTTCTCAGGTCTTTAAAGGGCTGCCACATGTAAGAAGGATTAAATATACTTGCCTTGGCAAAATGGAAACTGGAAGGACATAAATTTAGGCTTGATAGGAACACATAGATATACCCTTCTTAGTAATTGGGGGTCCAGAGTAGATTGGGTAAGCTATTCATTGATGGAGAACGCTGAGCAAAGACTTCAGTATTCCTCTTTGGGCATGTTTAACAGTAGGGGTCTGGTTAGGTGAGGGCAGAAACATAACTAGGCACTTCTGAGCCTGGAGCAAGTCTCACCAAGCATGGTAGGAGTAGTGGGAAGAGTACTAGCTCAGGAATCAGGGGCCCAGGTTTGAATCTTGCTTGTGACCTTATGTAAATTTCCTTTAACCTCTTTAGACTTCAGTTTCTTCCTGACAGGTGAGGGAGGAGGATCCCATGACTGCTGAGGTTTCTTCCAGCTCCAAGTCTATGAGTCTCTAAGAATGTCTTGGCTTAGTGCTTGAGGGATGGACCGTGGAGGCAGAGATCCTTGTACATTCTTGTGGGGCCACTCCAGGAGAGGCTGCCATGGGGCACAGGCAAAAGGACTGGGCAGGCAACAGTCCTCATAGGCTTCTATTTGAACCAATTTTTCTTGCTGTTTGGATGGTAAGTTCTGGTGTTGGCTGTGCTGCTTAAATACTGCTAATTTTGGCAGTGCCTTCTAAATTCAGTGCCCTGATAGCAAAGCCCTGCTCACCCTTCCCTAGTTATAGCTCTGAATATGGTGGAACCAGATGACTTCTGACGTATTTGTTACAAGAATTTTGTTTTTCTTTCTTCTTTTCCCAATAGGATGGGGATGAGGTGGGTGAGAGGGGGAGAGAAAATAGATTCCTGCTATCTAAAAATTTTTTTAAAAAGATAGATGTCGCTTATAACCTCTGAAAATCTGTGAGTCTATGATCAGATTTTTCAAATGTTTCAAAGTCTAGGGAAACATAGATCCAATCCCAATTCCAATATTATTGGCCCTTGTTACCCTGGTCTCTTCTTTTCCAAATTGTTTGTTTCCCTCTCCCCAACCCCTAACCCCTGACCCAATTCTGCAGGGCACTTTAGGTGTGGTGAACCTTAGTTCAAACCAAAAAAAATGGACAATTTAATTTTTAACTTGCCTTGTGACACTTCTGTTTGGTTCCGAGCCAAAACGCTCTGCCTGGCATCCTTCTGTGTTCTGGGAGGTGCAGCCAAAGACAGTCTTCACACTGGAGCCCATTTTGAGTTGGATCCATCCAATATCCTTCAACTGCTTTGCCTCCCTGGGCAAGCCAACCTACAGACCATGCCCCACTCACTATCTGATGGCATTTGGGTACATGCATTTCTGAATGGCCATGTTCTGCTACTCAGAAGGCTTTGGGGTTTCCCCAATATCTTTGTTTAGAGAGAAGGGCTCCATTTTTTTTGTCTTTGCATTTTTTATTGTTGTTGTTTGGGGTATCATGCTTTGTACGTGGAAGGCACTGGAGAATATAGTTAGTAGCTGGTTTTAAATGACTCCATTACTCTGATAGAGCTGTGATCTCACTGCTGGAGCATTTCCTCCAATGATGCAGGTTGCAATCCCTTCATGTCTAATTGATTAGTGCTACCCTTATGTGTGTTCTTCCAGAATTTCAGCATACAGGGAATGGGATAGTAATCAGAGGACCAGCCTCGAAGCCCTGGATCAAGTACCCCTGCCAAATACTGGCTGTGTGACCTTAGACAAGGTACTTAATTCCTTGGTGTCCCAAGCAGGTCTTTAAAACTCTCTGCTAACAAGGAGTTGCAATCTGTATCCTTAGAGGGAGTTTCCACAGTGGGAGTTACACACATGGATGAAATCCCAGGCCTACAGGGGAAAAAGTTGCCCAACTCTGTGCCAGGCACCAGGATTAATAATGATAATAATAATAATAATAACAATGATGATGATGATGATGATACTAAGGAGAAGGAGGAGGAGGAGGAGGAGAAGTTGTTTCTGTTGTCCGGGAGTTTACATTCTTCTGTGCAGATAGATCAAGCAAGTATGAGGTAATTTGAGGAGGGTGTGGACACTTGAGATCAGGGCATTCATGGAAGACTGTATGAGGGAGGTGGCCATGAGTGAGCCTAGCATCCCCAATTTAAAGCTAAAAGTAGGAGCTTTGAACCCATCCTTCCTCTGGCCCCCGCTCTGGAGAAATTCAACAAGGCTTTCAAAATGGGAATTTTGAAATTTGTGTTCTATTTCTTTCCTCATCAGAGAGACTGAAGTGGTTGTCCCTTACTATCTGTTTAGTTTTCTTCCTCTATGATCTTATCCTATATGATCCTCAGTTTCCTCATCTGTAAAATGAGGAGATGGATTATTTGACCTCTAAGGTTGCTTTTAGTTCTTAATATATGATTCTTAGGAGCTCAGGGCTGACCCATTACTACCTGTCCAATGTTGGTAGAGTCATTTATTCTAGATGGTCCCCAGTTTCCATCCACGTGGTCCTGGTTAAGTTAGCTCTCCAGGCCTCATTTTTCTCATCTCTAAAATGAGAGGATTGGGCTAGAAGGCTTCTGAGCATCCTTCTGTTGAGGTTTCATGATGTGTTGTGGTGGAACCATCTCAAAGAATTCAGAATCAGACCCGTAATCCAAGTATAGGCATCTATTGAGGATCGATGCCCCTCAGAAGAGGGATAAGATCTGAGAGGAACCAGCAACTTTAGTGAAAGCAAGACAAATTTTAGAGGGTAAAGATGCAATTATATAACAGCACTTATGACCATTAAAAAGGCAGGAGGGATTTGTTAAGGGCCTAGGTAATGGGGAGGGATCCCAGCCTCAGTGGAACTGTGCATGCAATTACTCACAGTGCATCCAGAAAAACCCATTTGGGGGGACAGGCGTGTATGATGATATTATAATAAGCCTCTTTACGTCATAAGTTTACCTAAAGGACAGATTTTGCTATTACTGCACAAGTGACTACTTGGGGAGAGTCCCCTCTATTCATCCTGGTGCTGCTGCTTTCTGATTGGCTGGCTATTGTGGTCCTGTCTGAGACTAGATAAATGTGGTTTTGGTTAACTGCATGGACACATCTGCTGTTTCTGTGGGAAATATGAGGAGTGGGTCTGGGGGCAATGACTAGCTAGAAGCAGTGTCTGGGATCCCATCCCATGGACATGCCTGCTGTTTCTGTGAGAAATATAGGTTCATGGACACACCTGTTGTTCGAGTGAGCAGTGAGGCGTATGTGAGGAAATCAGGATATTGAGGGGGGGAGGCAGTGGGCCTGCTGTTTAGTGGGGCCTATGATCGAATCTGGGTGCCTGTGGTGTGGTTAAAGCTAGATTGTGGGGTTAAATCAGGACATGCCTACTGTTAAGTGGGGCCCATAAGGAAGTCAGAATACTGGGGCTGGGGTCAGCTTTATTAGGATTCCATCACTTTCATCCCCAGATCCACAAAGATCACTCTTTCAGCCTCAGTTTCCTCTTCTGTGAAATGAAGGAGTTAGGTGGAGAGGGAGGGAAGAACTAAAAATAAAATAAAATTGAATTTTCAAATGAAATAAAATGGAGTTGGCTAGATCTATGATGTTACGATGCTCATCTGGGCCCCAGTTTCCTGCTCTTTAATGAAGAGGTTGGAGAAGCTAGTTGACTTCTAAGGGTACCGTAATCCTAAAACAGAGTGTTACGTGAAGTTTGTGGGGGAAGGAGGGTGGTTGTCACAAATGGAGTGGTAGCAAAGGCTTCATGAAGGTGCCATTTGAGTCAAGGTATCAGATCATAAAATCCCAGGATTTAGAGTGAAAGGAACCGGAAAATGACCTCATTGACCCCCGCCATTCTGCAGATGAGGAAGCAGGGGTTCCGAACGGGCAGGTGAGGTGCCTTAGGAAATGTCAAACCAGGAGGGTCTTCCCAATGCACTTCCTTCGCTTGCTCACCAGAGAGTGAGCCTGAGGTCTGGAGCTGGGCAGAGCCTTGCTCAGGGTCTTACAAAATAGCATTGAGTTGTTGATGAATAGAAGTCGGCTGAAAAACAAACAAACAAAAATAATGTTTGTTTTTCTCCCACGACTTTGTCAGCCCGATGGGAGAAAGATGGGGACAAGGGGGCAGTGAAGAACGAAAGTCAATCCCTGCCCCAGCGTTTGCCCAGAATGCCAGTCACTCTTCCAGGGTGGAAGCTCATTTTGGAAATGCCAGAAAATCCTACCCCCACCGGAACCGGGAGGCAGGTGGGGGAGGGGCTTGACTTGGCATAAAAGGAAGAGAAACCCAAGGGAAGGAGGGAGGTCCTCTAGGTGAGACCTAGAGCCAGGAGCCTAGCAGTCCAAGGACCCTCGAGGGGCAGCCAGCAGAGCCAGGGGTGAGTGCTGAGCAAACATCCTTTGGGAGAGGGGGCTAGAGCCGGTCCTGCAAGGATGCCCAGCCCCACAGGCCTCTGGGACTGTGCCTGAGTCTTGAGAATAGGACAATGTACAGCACAGAGCAGGGCTTTGGCCTCTGGGGCCCCAGAAGGGGCTTGATTTTGATCACATCATTGCACCCAAGTAAAGTCTTGAACTTGGGGTCAGGAAGACCTGGGTTTGAATCTCATTTAAGTCATTTGGGCAAGTCCCTGATCCTTTCTCAGCTTCCGCATGGAGATGGGTTGCTACCTGTAGTAGCTACCTTGGGGGGTTGTTGTGAAGATCAGATGAGACGTTTGTAAGTTGTTTGCAAAAACCTTGAGACCCTAAAGAGAAATGTAAGGGGGAGTCTCCCAACCCACCTCACCTTCCCCACCTCCATCAGTTAGTGTAAGGACAGGATGGGAGGTTTAGTGGTGTAGACACGGTGCTCTGCACCCCCAAGATCTGTCTACCATCTCCTTTTGAACCTCTTTGATTGGGTCAAGAAAGGAACAGCTACTGACCAACCCCAAGGATTGTTGGAGTAGGGGCTGAGGGATGAGCACCACACTTCCTACTGTGCCCTGCTTCTTTCCCCACTCCCTGCTCCAAGAAGGCTTGTTATCGAGCTCAGAAAACCAGAGTAGGAAAGGTAGTAGCCCTCATAGGGTCGATTTGGTTTGCAAGCCTCATCTTTGTGGATGTCCGCAGCAGAACGCAATATTTTAAACGGGGAAGTTAACTTCACTTTCCCTAAACCTGAAAACCTCCTCCTTCTCAGGGACTCAGTTTCCTACTCTGTAAAATGAGGGAATTGGGCTAGCTGACCCCCGATATTGTTGCTATTTTGCATCTATGGAGTTTTCTGATCTGGAGTCCCTCCTCCCCCATGCCAATGAAATCACAGATTTGAGTCAAACAAAAAAAAATCATTAACACTGCCCACCTGCCTACCTCCCAAGGTCAAGAAAAGTGTTTTGTAAAGCTTGAAGCCCTAAAGAAATGCCACCTGCCCTTACCCACCCCTTCTCTTCCTGCCATAGCTCCCATTTCCATTGACTTCCTTCCCCAAGCTTCTTTGCCTTCACAGTGGTCACTGCTTGAGGGATAGAACCCAGCACCAACGCTCCCATTTTATAGAGGGGGAAACTAAGAGTCAGAGGGGATGGAAAAAGGTTACAGAACTTATCCTCAGGTCCATGACAAGTAAAGACATGAGAAAAGGCAGGGCTGCTTAGATCTTGACTGATACCCTCTCCCTCCAAATCCCCTTCCTTCTCCTCCCATCCCACTTCTCCTCTCCCCCTTTCTTTACTTCCCTCACTTTGCCCTCCTCTTATTTCTCTCTTTCTTCTCTCCCCTCCTGTCTTCTCTTCTCATCCTTCAAGCCCCACTCCCTGACCCCCCCCTCCCCGGGACAAACCTGGAGACACCAAGAATCATGGGTTCGTAGATTTGGGGCTGGAATGGATCTTGCAGCTGCACCAGAGCTCTTCCACTGTACCCTGATGTTGGGGTCACCCCTAACACTGGACAAGCAAGAAATGAGCTATTCGTCCCTGTTGGAAATGGCCATTTCCTCTGAGGTCACGAGTGCCTTGGTCCCATGCTGCTTGGTTTTTTCCACTCTGCCTCATTTTATGGTTATCTGTGCACAGGTAAGGTGGGGAGGGCGCATCAGAGTGGGACCAGGATGTGAGTATCTCCTGTACTTCCAGCCTGGGCCAGATGGGGAGACCCATTCTTAACAAAAGATCCAATGAGCCCCTTTATTTATAATTATTTAGCTTTACATCAAAGGGCAGCTACGTGGCACAGTGGATAGAATGCTGGGCTTGGAGTCAGAAAGACCTAAGTCCAAATCTGGCCTCAGACACTACCTCTGTGATCCTGGGCAAATCTCTTAACCCTGTTTGCCTCAGTTTCCTCATCTATAAAATGATCTGGAGAAGGAAATGGCAAACCACTCCAGTATCTGTGCCAAGAAAACCCCAAACTGGGTCATGGAGAGTCGGACAGGACAGAATAACAGCAAAAGCATTATGTCATTGGGCTTTCCACACTGATTTGGAACTCTAGCAGACAGTGATGCCCTTTTCCCCATTGCCTGTATTTAAAAGAAATATGTCAGACAGTAAATCTTTATTAAGCACTCACTGTATGCCAGGCACTATGCTAAGTGCTGAAAATACTGATATTCCTTTTTGCTGGAAGATGTACCTTGAAGGACAGTGGTCCCCAGAGAAAGGGCTGGGTGCTTGGCACCTTCTTTAGAGACACCTAGCACTTTCTATGGAGAGTTTGTCTCTCCCTACATGGGACATCCTGAAAGAGTGTTGGAGACAAATGCTGGCTCCCACAATGACGATTTGGGTGACCACAGATAAGGGACAGCTTCCCTGAACCTTATATTCCTCATCTGTAAAGGAGGGATAATCAGCAGACCCTAGGACGGGTGTAAGGGATGTGCTTTCCAAGCTCCTGAGTGCTGCCCAATCATGAGACAGGGCCTTTAGAGAGCATCCTGGACACCTCTAGTTGGTGGGGGCTTAACACTGAGGAAGGGACTGAAAAGGATAAAAGGTGGAATAAAGGGATAAAGGAGCTGCCTCGTGGCTGTCTGACTCGGGGCTCTGACCACAGAGTCCAGGTACCTTTGGTTGGGGCTGTTGATGGGAGGACAGGCCCTGTGATTTAATTAGTGTAGGGAAGTACCACTGAGAACTCCTTCAATGGATGTGTATCCATTGGAGTCTAACTTGGAGTCTTCATTACCTGAGGACAGTGATAGAGTAGGTGACTGGCCCAGGGTCACCCAGCCAGCATGGGTCAGAGGTGAGACTCCATTCCAAGGATGGCCCCTTTGTCCCCTTGGTCATACTGTCCCCATGCATGCACTATACACTCAGATACACATGTTCCTGCCATCTCCCCACCCCCATGCCCCCAGGCAACAAACAATAGCTTAGCTAGACGTCAAGTTAGAATTCTTCCCCTTTTACTTGCCACAGAAAGTCAGCTATGTAGAGGTGAGATAAAGAGCTAGTCACACAGTCAGGAAGGCCTGAGTTTGAATCCCACCTCAGACACTTACTAGCTGTATCACCCTGGGCAAGTCATTTCACCTCTGTTTGCCTTAGTTTCCTCACTATCAAAATTAGAATAATAATAGTACTTACCTCCCAGGGCTGTTGTGGGCTCAACTGAGATAAAGTACATAAAGTGCTTTGTAAACTTTAACAGATCAAATAAATATGAGCTATTATTTGCCCCCAAAATGTGAAAAAAAAAACCTTGAGGAAAATGGCTTTATGTTTATTCCTTGGATAGCCCTCTTGAATGGACAAAAGGGCAATGTGGTGTTTGTTTAAAGGGCCTGGCTTCAGATTTTGATGGCATTCTCTCCTATTCTGTGCATCATCCCTCCAAGGACCAGCTGGAATGGAGGTGGGTTCACAGGTCACAGTCGTCAGAAGCAGTCGGGTGGTGATAAATGATGCCATTATCCCAGCAGAAGTTGTCATCGCCAGTGGCCAAATCGCTGATATTCTGCCCACTGGGACCAGAGTCCAGAGCCAGGGAGAGAAGGTAAGCATGAGGGCAGCCTAGCCCAGCACCAGGAAGTCCTGGGGGAGGGATGTTTGGGCTCATGTGGTGGTGGGCATGGACAGGCCCGTACAACAGAAGCATTTGCAGGCATCTGTCTGCAGGAGCAACTCTCTGGGCTTTGTCAAGCAAACTGACCAAGGAAATATTCAGATTTTGAATAAGGGAGTAAACATTTTCAAGGATACAGCTTTATCTGCAGGCCAAAATTGTTTGCTCAGATATGCAGAACTGAATTCCCTAAGGATTCCTGCCATTTACCCTCCACTTTTCCCAAGCAGCCCAACTGACCTGTCCTATGTATCCTCCTGCACAACTGCCCAGGAGGCCTCCTCTTCCCTTCTAGGCCCTTAGGCAGCACAGGCTCCACTGTCTGATCATCTGTCTCCATGGGCAGCCCCCCTCCCACAGCACACATGCCACATTTCACCCACAGGAGTGGATGGATACATTCTCCTCCCTTGTCCTGCCCCATCACACTGTGCCCAAGTAAAGATTTTAAGCGATACATTCACCCCCTTTCTTGTGGGTGGGTTTAGAGGTATTGGGGGTCAAACAGGTGATAAGCTTTGGGCATTTCTGTCCATTAGCCGCCACACCAGACTGGACTCACCCTGCTTGGTCCCTTAGGACCGGCCCGAGGAAAGCTGGGTACAAGCCACTGCAGAGAGACACATGAAAAAACTTCCTGCCAATTGGGGTTGTCCATGAGTGGAATAGGTTGCCCTGGGAGGCAGTGGGCTGCCCCTCGTGGGAGGGCTTCAAGCAAAAGGGAGGTCACGCCTGGCTGGGTGTGCTGGAGAAGGGTTGCCCATCCCCAGTGTTTAGACTGCGCAGGGGCACGGTAGGAACTTGAGTGGTTGGTAGATTTATGGGTCCAATTTGGAGATACTGGGATTCTAATCACGTGCAGGCATGCCAGGGAGAGACTGGCGCTACTGTTTTGGCTGCTTCATAAGCCTTCATTGAACATTGTAGCAGAATGAGAGAATCACCAACCCAGCTACCCTCTGTTTATTACTTCCTATTTATCTTGTGAACAGCTTGCTCTATTTGCATGTTGTCTCCCCCGTTAGACTGTAAGCTCCTTGAGGGCAGGGACAATCTTGTGCCTCTTTTTGTATCCCCACTGCTCAGCACAGTGCTTGGCACATGGTAGGTGCTTAATAAATATTGATTGATTGATTGAAAGCTGTACACGGACCCCTTAATTCTTTTTCAAATGAGCTTTGCTTAGACATGGAGTGAAAATTCTCTAAGAAAAGCCTACAGTCAGCGGGTAACACTAACATCCACCAATGCACATCTCCCTTTAGGACACCAGGGTCTCTCTTAGTATGCCTTGGCCTCAACAACACAGCTGTGCACTTAAATGATGACAGTTGTTATGGAGGGATGTGGCTCAGAGAGACGACTTGAGGACGCTCCCTGGTTTGTGCCAACCATAGTCGAATCAGGTTCATGAGTCAAATGGAGCCAAATCAGAGTTTTACCTCATGCCAGGGTACCAGTCTGACCTAGGCAAACACGCTTTGGTTATATTTTATTGCTCTCTGACATTGACTGAGCTCCCTGTCCAAAAGAAGAAATCATGGAACCATTGAGGATCAATGGCGCAGCTCAACTCTTGTTTCATTTCTGTCTTTGTTGCCAAGAAAAATGAGCTTTCTTTGGATTGAAAAGTACATAAAAAACATAACAGAATGGCTAATAGAGAGTTAATAGATAAGATAAGTAAAGAGAGAGTGGGAAAGCATCCAGTTGTCCTCAAATCACCTCATCCAACTCAACTCTAGCTTCAGGCCCTAAAAACCTGGTGGGTGTAATTATGGAACCATGCTTCACAAATTTTGAAAAGTCATGGAAAACTGGGGAGGAGCCACAGGTTTGGAGAAGGGAAGATGCTGTCCCAATTTTAAGAAAAGGAAAGAAAATGGAGCCTGCAAATTATGAGCCCATGAGCTTGATGCTGATTTTTGGCAAAATTTTAAAAGGTATTAAAAGGGTGGTTGAGGTAATTCTAGAAAAGGAAATAGCAACCACCAGGAGCCAGCCAGGTTTCATGAAGACCAGATCATGCCAAATGAACTTCATCTCCTTTTGGGACAGGGATACCGGCCTGGTAGATAGAGGGGATGCTCTCAAGTTTGCCCATATTTTAGCCAAGCTTTTGACAAAGTCTTTCATGCTATTCCCATAGAAAAGGTGGAGATCTATGGACCCCATGACAGGTCAAGTACATGGATTTGGGACTCATGGAATGTCTAGACCTAAAGGGTAGTCATTCATGGTTTAGTTACTCTTTGGAAGGAGGTTTCCAATGATTTCCTTGATTTCCCCCTGTGCTCAGCCCTGGACTGTTCAGTCTTATGGCCAATGGCTTGCTTGAAGACCGTAGTTTGAGAATGCTTTTCAGATTTGTAGATGGGACAAAGTGGGAAGAAAAGCTAAGCTACCACATGACAGGCAGGCTCCAAAAAGATCTGGAAGGGGCGCTAGGTGGTGCAGTGGATAGTGCACTGGTCCTGGAGTCAGGAGGACCTGAGTTCAAATCCAGCCTCCGACCAAACACTTGACATTTACTAGCTGTCCAATTGCCTAAACAAACAAACAAACAAAAAGCAAAAAAAAAAAAAAGATCTTGAGAGGCTAGAGCAGTGAGCTGAACTGAATAAGATGAAGTCAGTCAGCCAACAAGTAGTTCCTAAATACCTATTATATACCAGGAATTGGGCAAAAAGCATAAATGTAAAGACACAACCAGTTTGAAAAAATCACATTCATAGATGCAAGATGAGGATGTTGGGGATGTTGTGGTTAGCCAGAAGTTCATTAGGAAAAGGGGGTTCAGAAGACCCCAAGCTGAATGTGAGTCCACAATGTTATGTGGCAACCACAAAGAAAGCCAGTGCAATCCTGGGCTATGTTATGAGAGGAGTGTGCTGGTAAATGTTTAACTACTGGCTCCCCTCTCAATGTACACAAAAGTTTAATCTGCATTATTTTAAGTTTAATCTGCATCTCCATCACTTTCCTAAGTTTACACAACCAGTAAGCTATAAATCAAGCCCTGATTTGTAATTTGATGGTGTCCAAACTATCAACGATCATACTGAAAATTTAACAACTGGCTCTCTGAGTCAGTATGAACTGGCTCTAGTGTACTTTAGAGCAGAACTTCCAGGAATAAGGAGATGATCATCCCACTGCCCTCTGCCCTGGTCAGACCTCATCAAGAGGACTGGCTTTAGTTCAATGCACCACAGTTTAGGAGGGTCATTGATAAGCTGGATAACCTTCAGCGGCAGATATTTACATAAACCTTGCAGGTTTGCAAAGATCTTTAAATACATTCTCTCTTCTGAGCCTCTCAACAAAAGGTGCTATTGCCCTCATTTTAAAGGGTCACACAGCTAGAAAGTGTCCTTGGCAGGATTTGAACTTGGGTCTTCCTAACTCTTATGTTCAATGCTCTCTAGCCATAGTATCCAGGACAGGGAGGTGAGATTCCCTCTGTTCTCTGCTTTGATCAGATTACAGCTAGACTGGAGCTGGAAGGGGCTGTGAAAGTCATTTGGTTGAAGCCCCTCGTTCTACAAAGGAGAAAGCTGGGAGGCAAAGGGACTTGCCCAGGGAGTTAATGTTAAGACTTGGGTCCACATTCCTAGCCCAGGCTTTTTTCCACTGTTGCCACTGCCCTCAGCCCAGAGGAGCTCCAGGTCTTCACTTGAAAAGCAAATGCACTTCTGATGTGACTTTGAGCACAGAGTCATTTTTAGAAAAATACTTCTAGAATATTCTCTTCCACATTGAATGAGATAATGTGTGGAAAGCACTTTGGAAATGTAAAAATACTGTAGAAGTGCCAGCTTTTGTTGTTAGCACTGGGATCATTCTTCTTAGCAAAACCTATTTCACACAAAATGTATAACGTTGATTATATTAAATTGAAAAGTTTTTGCACAAACAAAGCCAATGCAATCAAGATTAGAAGGGAAGTAGAAAATTGGGAAAGAATTTTTACAACCAGTCTCTCTAATATGGGCCTCATTTCTAAAATATATGGAGAATAAAGTCAAATTTATAAGAATACAAGTCATTCCCCAATTGATAAATGGTCAAAGATATGAACAGGTAGTTCTCAGATGAAGATATTAAAGCCATCTATAGTCATATCAAAAATGTTCTAAATCACTATTGATTAGAGAAATGCGAATCAAAACAACTCTGAGGTACCACATCACACCAATCAGATCGGTCAAGATGACAAAACAGAAAAGGATAAATGTTGGAGAAGATGTGGGAAAATTGGAACACTAGTGCATTGTTGGTGGAGTTGTGAACTGATCCAACTATATTGGAGAGTAATTTGGAACTATGCCCAAAGGGCTATAAACACGTGCATATCCTTTGACCCAACAATAGCATTTCTAGGGCTATATCCCAAAGAGAGCATACAAATGGGAAAAGGACCCACATATATAAAAATATTTATAGCAGTTCTTTTTGTGGTGGCAAAGAATTGGAAATTGAGAGGGTGCCCATCAATTGGGGAATGACTGATCTATGAATGTAATGGAATACTATGGTGCTATAAGAAATGATGAACAGGCTGACTTCAGAAAAACCTGGAAAGACTTGTATGGTCTGATGCTGAGTGAAGTGAGCAGAACCAGGAGAACATTGTACACAATAACAGCCAAGTTGTGCAATGACTAATATTGATAAACTTAACCCTTCCAGCAATACAAGGGTCTAAGACATCTCCAAAGACCTTGTAATGGAAAATGCTATCCATATCCAAAGAAAGAACTATGGAGTTTGAATGCAGATGGAAGCATACTATTTGCTATCTTTTTTTCTTCTGTTGTGTTTTGTTTCCTCTTTCTGGTGGTTCCTCCTATTGGTTCTAATTCTTACTTACAACACCACTAATATGAAAATATGTTTAATAGGAATGTATATGTATAGCTTATATCAGATTGTGCACCGCCTTGGGGAGGGCGGTGGGAAGAGAAAGGGAGAAAAATTTAAAACTCAAAAGCTTATGGCAGTGATTGTTGATAAATCAAAATAAATTAATTTTTTTTTAAATTGATAGAATTAGCCTCTTGAAGGCAGGAACTCTTTTTTTTTTCTTCTTTTGCATCCTTAGCATCCATCAAAACGCATGGCACATAATAGGTGTTTAATAAATATTATTCATTGAAAAAATAAAACCTATTTCACCAAACCAGAAGGTAAGAAATTGGCCTGTAGTCAAAATCACCCTCCAATTCAAGAGCCAACTCTCAACTGGATGCCCTCCAACAGTCATTTCTAAGCTTCTTTCTCTGATGGAGAGGCAGCTCTGGGTTGATAGAGAAAAGACTGGAGGAAAGAGTCTGAATAAAACATTCAAATCAAATGCAGAAGAGAGGAGAAGAAAGTTCCAAAGCAGACAGAGACAAGCAAGACTGTTAAAAGAATTGTGTTAAATTGAATATATAATGAAAAAGGAGCTGTCCAGGATTGAGATTCAAGGTTACATAGACAATCATCTTTTTTCTGTTGTTGCTTGTATATGGAAATATTAATGATTGTTTAAATTCATAATAAAAGTTTTTAGAAAAAGCAAAAAGGATAAATAAAAAATAGAATACTAAATTTGGGGTCAGATGGGTTGGGTTAGAGTTGTAGGTCTTCCATTTCCATCTCTGTGATCTTGGTTGAACAGGTGAAGTTTCCTCCTCTCAACAAAAGGTGCTATTGGTCAAGTAGTCAAATTGGTCAAATGAAAGCATTGAGCTAGATGCTCTCTCACTGATCTACTAGCTCTAAATCCAGATCTTCCAATCCCACCATGCTATCTGCAATTATCTCCAAAGTATATAAACTTCCTTCAAACAAAATCAATATTAATTTAATTTTGTCACAATACCAGGCAGCATCGTGGAGATTTGTGTGTACATGTGTGTATGTGCATGCCCCGTCCTGGGTGTGCACCCTATTTAGGGAATAGTAGTCACCAAATTATACAAACAATGAGGTTCTATTGCCACATTAGGTCAAAGAAATCCCTAAGAGCAAAATTAAATTATTATTATTTTTAGTTTCCAGATTTCCTCTCTTCTTGCACCAATCCCCACCAAGGACAGTTTCTGGAAGCCATGATTAATTTGGCCACTGCTATCCAGTGGGGCTCCATCTCTGCCCAGAGGACAGTTTCTTTCTGATCCATACTTGGGCATCTTAGGACCAATCACAGACTTTTTTGCTCCTAGAAATACTACTTAGGGCCGCACCTCCTGGGGATTTACCACCTGCTCAAAGGAGTTTGCCTGATTCTTCCCCCTGAGCTCATACACACACACACACACACACACACACACACACACACGCACGCACTTCCAAAGTGCATTCACAAAGTGGCCAACTTTCTTGAGGCTCTTTAAGGAGATCATTACACAGATGCTATTCTAGTCCCTGCCATTCCAGTTATCCCTCCCCTGTGCCCCATTGATTCCATATCCCTAGGACACTGCCTTTGGCTCAGGATCAGGTCTTTTCTTCTCATGACACCAGGTGTATTTTATGGAGTTCATTCAGTGTCAAAGCTCATCCCTCACCTCATTTTCTTTCCTCTTTTCCATCCCTCCCCAGGTGCTCGATGTTGGGGACTTGGTGGTCATGCCTGGCATCATAGACTCTCACGTGCACATCAATGAGCCAGGGCGCACAGCCTGGGAGGGATTCCACTCGGCCACCAGGGCTGCAGCTGCTGGGGGCATCACCACCCTGGTGGACATGCCACTGTACGGTACCCTGGGAGGATGCTTGGAAAAAGGGATGGGGATGGTGCAAATGTGGATGAAAGGAGGGAGGGTTGGACTTCAGAATTGGGTGAAGGGTTGAACTACAGGCTAAAGTATGACCCTAAAGACTCCCAGAAACAACACGCAGGAACGCACAGCCTCCCTACTCTCATTGTGTTTACCAACATTTCACAGTTTTATGTAACTTCAGAATTCATTTACACAGATGTAGAGCTGGAAGGGACCTTGAGCATCATCTAATCGAAGCTTCCTTTCACAGATAAGGAATCTAAAATAAGAACACTGATAATAATGAGCATTTGTCTCATACTTACACATGTTCTATTTTATCTACATGTTTATATGCATTGCCTTGTTCTCAGATAGAAAGTTTAAGGAACTTGCCCAGTCTCAAAAGCAGTGAATAGTAGAGGCAGGGTCTGAATGCAGCTGCTCAGATTCCACATCTCCAGTTCTTTCCATTGCCCCATCCTGCCTCTCTTGTAGAAGGGCAGTATGGTGTTGGGGACTGGGAGTCAAGACAAGCTGGCTTCAGAATTTGCCTCTAAGCTTCCTCGCCATGGGGCCATAAGCGAGGCCCTTTCCTTGCCTGGGCTTAAGTTGCTTCATCTACAGGATGACAGGGTTAGACTGGCTGAGGTCCCTTCCAGATTTCCATCAGTGTTCCTGTCACGTAAGCTCCCGAGCCTCAGCTTCCTCATCTGTAAAGTAGAAATACATGATATCTAGAGTAGCTACTTTGTGGGGTTGTGAAGTCCATGCAAACTTTAGAGGGTCAAAGTCAACAGGCATTTATGAAGCTTCTACTCTATGCAAGGCACCAGGCTAAGCAGCTGCAAGTTGGTGTTACTTATTGTTATTCATGGAAATACATACAAATGGAAGGCTTCCCATCATTCCCTATCCATCATATTTAGCTGGAGGAGATGAGGTCATGGCTGGTGGTCAGAACTGTTTCCAGGATCCAGATAACTGAGGTGATCACGCTGGCAGCAGGCTTTGGGGGTGCTAGGAGCTGGAACCCTAGCAACGGTGCAGAGAAAACCTTGAGTCTGGAATCAGAGGACTTGGGTTCCAATCTCACCTCGGATGCTTATTCCCTGTGTGTCCTCAGACACATCTCTAAGCCTCCCAGGTCCTTAGTTTCTTCCCGTATACATTGAGGAGATTGGACAAGATGGCCTCCAAAGACCACCTCTTTCTAGGATCTCAGGGACAGGACGTCCCCCCGCGACCATCAGCTCTTATTTAAAAAAGGTCTCAGGCTGATGTCAATGTACAAGAGCCCTCTCCCTATTCAGGCCAGACCTCAGTTAGAATCCAGTGACTGGCGTGCTGCCCCAGGGCACAGAAAATGTGCCAGCACTGACTACATTTGCTCCTTAGCAGCAGCTGAGCTTAGCACCTATTTAGCAAGAACAATTAGTTAAAGCAGGAACTCATGGGAGCTGATGGGAGGATGTATTTCATACCCAGGCACAAATTGCTCATTTCAGATTCTTTCCTCCTTCAAAAGTGCTGTTATTTCTGTTAATTCAATTTCACAAATCCCACAGCCCAGTGGGATTCCACATCTTCCAGGACAGGCCAGTTCCCTTCCCAGAGGCAGGGCATGTCCTGTCCCCCAGCCTGGGCTGCCACATGTGAGCCAGTGAGCACCCTTACTCAAGAAACACTCTTTAGGATTCCTAAACCCACCTCAGCATCCGTGTTCTCCACCCTACCCTTGGTAAGAAGACAAGGAGCTTTGCCAAGGTCATGGAAGCCTGGGCTTTGTGTGTGCTAAAGATCTGTCTCTCAAGCAAGGCTATGACCAGTTAAAAGGCTCCCAGAACCAAGACCCCAAAATGGGGAACAGAAATAGCATCTAGTCTCCTTGTGAGCTAAACTCTGAAGATGCCCCCAGTGATAAGTAGAGATAGCACCCCAAAAGATGGATGAAAGTACAGAGACACAGATTTAGATGGCTGTCCATGGTCTCATAGGTAAGACATTAAAGTCTTCTAAGACTTGGAGTTTTGATCCCAAACGAGAGATCTTCAAAGGAAGAAGGATTTAGGGTTAAGGTTAGGAAATGGAGAAGAAATTCCTGTTGAGGTGGCGCCATAGTGCAAAGAGTCAGAAAGACCTGAGTTCAAATCCTGCTGTGTGACCTGGCCAAGTCACTTCCCTTATCTCAGACTCGGGTTCCTTCTCTGTAAAATGGGAATAATGAGGATATCAATCACACCTCCCTCACTGGGTTGTTGTGAAGACGAAAAGAGGTAATTAAAGTGCTTTCTGAACTTTATAGCACTGCGTGGTAACCCCTGTTCCTGAGGTGCAAGCTGGCCTCTGCCTCAGAGGCCCCCATCCCTTCTGAGAAGAGGGTCTTCTGCTCGTTAGCTGCTAGAGGAGGGCTTGGGAGGAGGGGGCTTGGTTGCTTAGCAAGTGTGGGAGGTTGGGCATCAGATATGGGTAAAGGGGCATTGACTGAGTCATGCCAGTAGAAAATAAGGGAATAAGCATTTATAAAGTAAGTGCCTACTGTGTGTCAGGCACTGTGTGCTGGGTGTTTGTTTTTAAACAATATTACCTCATTTGATCCTCACTACAATCTTGGAATGTAGGTGCTTATTATGATCCCCATTTTACAAATGAGGAAACTGAGGCAAACAGGAATTAAATGACTTGCCCAGGGTCACATAGCTGGAAGTGTCTGAGGGAATATTTTGGCTCAAGTCTTCCTGATTCTAGGCACAGTTCTGTATCCACTAGGCTGCCAACTATCTATTAAGTCATTGTGCCATCAGTCAGTATTTCTGTGGCCTGCAGGTAGAACCAGTCCCAGGTACTGGAGGTGACTGTCCAGCCTCAGGCTGAAGGGGGCCCCACCCTTCTGGACAGCGATGTAGTGATGAGGAACTGCCGCCTCCCCCAGCTATGGGTCAGACAGAAGCCCATCTTGTCCACGGAGGCTGCGGACCTCTAATGCAGGCCTGCTTTATCCCAGCTGCTGCAAATGCCCAGGTTTTAACATTTAACTTTTAATATTGAGCTGCCATTGTTAGGTTGTAATGATGAGGCAGGGTTATCAAAAGGGGAGGGTGGGACATGCCTGATTTGGGGAACTATTCAGAGAGAGAGCAATACTCCACAATTCTCTCCCACGTGGCATCCTTTAGTGTAAGAGACAGAGTCCCCGGTCACACGTCCAGAAGCGTGACTCTGTATAACACTTCTCCATCCATCTATCCATCTATTCATTGGTTCATTCAAAAAGCATTTCTTTTTCCTCTCCTGAATGTTAGCGTTTATAATACATAGATAAATACAGAGAGAAAGAATCACAGAACAGTAGAACCACGTGGGCCAGCATCCCAGAACCCCAAGCTCAAAGGGGCCTGGGAGGTCACCTAGTCTATCTCCCACCTGTCAAGCACTGTCCAGCCTCACATGAAGACCTCTAGGACTGAGGACCTCACTATTTCTAAAACGCCCCATTCTACTTTTAGGCCCCCTGAGTTGTAAGAAAGATTTCCCTTCCATTAAGCCTAAATCTGCCCCTCTGCCATCCCCCCACCTCCACTGCACCTGGTTCTGACTCTGAGGCCAAACAGAGCAAGGTTAGTCCCCTTGCACACAACGGCTTCCGAATCCTGAAAAGTGACTGTCATGAGTCTTCCCTCCAGGTGGATTTCTAGAGAATTTAGTCCAATTCCTTCATTTTACACAGGCGGTGCCCAATCAGTGCTGAATTGAATAAATTCCTTCTGTATGCACATGAGCACACACACACACACACACACACACACACACACACACACACACACACACAC